AGATATGATTCAATTAGAATGTGGAACAGAGTCAAGGAGCTGAGTAGACTCTCCATGGCAAGAAATATGTGTTTTTTAAAAATCAATTTAATCTCTTGTCCCGGTGGATACTGAAACAATTCTAGTCTCCAAATCCTGGGTTAATATTCAATTGGAAACTTGATTCAAACAGCTTTGGGCTCTCCCACCTCCTGGTAGATCATTGTGAGTCAGTTTAATGGCATATCAATGTAAACAGATTCCTTTCTAAAGAAACAACTGAAAACACTCTCTGCTGGATGTTTGAAACAATGCAAAGTATGGTTTGCTCCATGTGTTACAAGGTGGGAAAAGGAAGGTGAGAAGGAAATGGAGAAAGAGACAAAGGATGATGATGATGTATCAAGGTGTGAAATACAGTTTAACCAGTTAGGATGCACCTAACTGACTGATAGTAGCCATTCTTCCAGTTTTTCTTCATTCATTCATGAAACTGTCCTATCTATAATCTCTCTCTTTGAATTGCTTTTACACTCTTTTCATCATTTCTTAGCCAACTTCCTCAAATATCTAAAGAAGTCAGAGTAAGTGAAAGCAAAGAAGACAGTTGAACAAAGGGAGACAGTACCCCGGTGTCCACTGTGTCATTGAGTGGGAGTACAAATGTAATCTGCGTGATGGCGCCCCACACATCATCAAGAGATTACAATGGACTAGAAGTTCACAAAGAAAGAGATATCATCAGTGGGAAAATGAAGACTGTGACAAGGACAGATGAAGAATGGAGGTGATAACACATTGCCTCTGCCCTACTCTAAATCATGAGATGCAGGACAATAAAGTTAAAGGATTTAGACATAGGCCGTTGCCAATGGGCCATTGGTCATCTATTGCTGTAAACACTCAAAAACCACAGTCTTTGTTGACTATATTCTCACCTCTTGCTGAGCATTCTAAACCAGTTCTGAACACCATGAAACAGGAAAGTGAGGGTCGGGGAATGGGGCAGGAGGGTGGCTGACACGATCCTGTTGCAGAGTACTAACTGCTAACGTTTTTCTTTTACTCTTCCGTTCCATGCAGCTCAGTGACAGAAGCAAGGAGTGTGTCTTCATAGAGATAGTGCTGGAAAACAACTACACGGCCCTGATGTCTGCGAAATATACGGGCTGGTACGTAGGCTTTACCAAGAAGGGGAGGCCGAGGAAAGGACCCAAGACTCAACAAAACCAACAAGAAGTGCATTTCATGAAAAGATACCCAAAGATTCAGGGAGAGACCCAGGCACCATTTAAGTTTACCACAGTTAATAAGAGAACTAAACGAATACGACCCTTGAATTCCAGTTAGAGGACCTCACAGATCACGAACTGTCCCAGAGCATTATTTTTGCATCATTATTATTAATAAGAAACAGAAGGATGATCTATTTTTGTATATTGTACGACAGGTTGGGGGTGCTGGGAAAGGGAAGAGTTGTACCTATTTGTTCCAACCCTTTTAATGTAATCAACCTGTCTTATTTAAAGGAAAGCTGTTGATTTGAACAATTGGAACAAAAAAAAGCAAGAAAGAAGAGAGAAATAAAAATATATAATTCATGGGACTACAGCCCCTCCTTACAGATTGGTAGTTTTCTGAGGGGAAAAGAAAAATATATAGAGGATGTTGACGAATATGCAAGTCTGACTTGTCTGGAGCTAGTGTGTTGCCTATTGGTTCTTCTGGAGGTATGAAAATACAACAAACAGGAACTCTTCTTGGATCTCAAGTGCTTCTCAAGGCAACTAAACTATTATTTTTTTTCCAAAATATGACTGTATCTTGTCCTCTGTTCTGGACAGTGCTACAGATTGCTGCTATACATTCAAAGAGAGACATTCTTTTTCAGTTAAAGCTATGTAATGAGCAAATATTTATTTCCTCTCTATGTATAATACAGATCCCTTGAAGCAAACTATACTGCCTCAGTGATTAAATGCGAGAACATATTTAAAACATTGTTGTGAGCCATGCAAATATTCTGTTATTTTAATATTTTTAAAGTGAATTGCAATGGCTGATGAACTGAATTTCAGTAAATGATGGGGTGGTGAAATATTCTTGCTGTGCCCTCTTGAACTGTAACAAATGACATCTAGACCTCTTGGTTCATTGTTGTTATAGAGTTCTCCCAAATGGCCTGGCCTGCATTGGTCCCACAACCAATCTGAGTTAAGCAGATTGTCTGGCTACTTGCTTCATTGCTTTTGCGGAATTATTGCCTGCTACATTTCTCTACATTACAATCATGACCTTCCTTCGTAAGCAGATCCTGAGACTGTGAAAGGTGATGTATAATGCCTTGTCTTTTTCTCACCTTTCGATTTCAAGTGGTTGTTCAAATTAAAACTTAACACATCAGCACATTAATGTAGCTGCTTTGTCACACAGTCAATGGGATTGTGCAGATTTCAAAAGGTTTATTTGATTTTTTTTTAATCTACTGAAGAGGAATAGAGATAACCATTGTGAGTTGAGAGTTTTAATATTCTTTGGATGGAACGTCCCCTCCCTGGAGTTGGTGGGAAAGGTGGTGAGAAAGGACAACAATGTGGCAGATGGGTCCTGGAGAGATACTCGCCCCCTTCTCTCAAGTGTTGAGTGAAAAAATTCATTGGGGACTTTCTCAACTCACCACCAGTTATAGCCTTTAAATGGAAGCTGCAGTAGGGTTGTGGGTTGCCCCAGTTTAGGGCAATCATAGGCACAGATAGGGAGGCTAACCCTTGCTCTCCAACCACCCCCCATCCTCCCAAAGAAAAGATAAAGAAAACTGCTAACCTATTTGTCTTCGGATCCCCTGAAGATTGGGCCTTGACCAACGTCCTTAGGATCCAGAGGCTGGCAGCCTCTGATTGGCCAGCAGCTTCAGTTGAGGCAGGACTGTGCCGTTAAGGCCTGCAATTTGGTGGCTTTTGTGGTATTGGGCGGGGGGGGAGCAGTGAGTCAGTAAACTCAGGGGCACTACACAGGCTGTTAATGTGAGGATCGTGCCCTTTCTGTGTTGTCGTAATTCCAGTCTTCACTCCTACATGAGTTTGAATCTGACATTTGAGATGTGTTACCCCCATAGCGAAGAACTTGCATCAGGTTTCAGTCTATAATTGCACTTTGATAGAGCTATAGGAATGATACAGCACAGAAGGGAGCCATTTAGCCCATCTTGTCCATGTCAATTCAAAGACACTGAGATGCCTTCTCTAATCTCATCTTCCTCCATATGGCCCATAACCCTGGAATCAGAAGCGGGATCTGTATCAAGTAAGAATGAACGTGTTTTTCAACAGATCCTGAAATAACATTGGGACTTTCCAGTTGCTGTTCGCAAGTGAAAACCTTTTCTAATTTTAGGAAACATTGTTTCCAATTGATACACAGTAATCTCCCACAAACAGTAATTTGGTAATGACCACATACTCTTATGTGTTGGTTGAAACTTAAGTATTGGCCACACACTGGGAAGAACTTGGCTGTTTTTTAAAATTGTGCTGTACAATTCTGTACATCTACCTGAGAAGGCAAAGAGGATGTTAATTTAAGGTTTCATTTGAAAGGCTGTATCTCTGATAATGCAGCCTGTCAACAATACTGCCTCAACTGAAGCTGATCTTCTCTCAGTGCTACTTCAATCCAAAGCCTTCTGATTCAGAGAAGCCCAAGGAAATGACATAAGCCAATTGAATCTGAATAGTACTCCCACATTAACAGACAAAGGAAGCCATTACAAGGGAGGACTAAGAGAGGAAGAATGGCGGAATCTCACTGAGTTAAAACTATAAATTAAAATCGAGTATTTGACTTAAATTATAACACCAGGAACAAAGGTAATAAATATAAACCAGCAATAAATACATCAAACATGTAAATAATGAAGGCAAGTGAGAGGATCATTTGGAAAGTCAGCATTGAGAAAGCAGCCCACTCGATCAGCTATCCGTCCACCACCTTAAATATCCATTCCAGCACTAATGTATAGTAGCAGCAGTGTGTGCCTTCTTTATGTTGCACTGTGTTAATTCTTTAACAGCACCTCTTAACTCATGACCTACATATTAACGTAAAAAGTAAGAGCAGGAGTAGGCCATTCGGGCCCTCCAGCCTGCCCTGTCATTTAATAAGATCATGGCTGATCACTTACGTTTCGAATTCTACATTCCCACCTACCCCGACAACGATTTGCCTAATAAGGAGTCACCTACCTCCACCTTAAAATATTTAGTGATGTCGCTTATACTGCCTTCTGAGGTAAACAGTTCCAAAGTTGCACATCTTTTTGAGAAACAAAACCCTCATTTCTGTCCTAAAAGGGTCATGCCTAATTTAACTCAGTTCCCTTATTCTGCATTCATTACAAGAGGAAACACGCTTGCCATGTCCACCTTGTCAAGACCACTCAGGATCTTATACACTTCAATTAAGTCACTGCTCATTCTTCTAAACACTAATCTAACTATCCTCATAAAGCAACCCTTTCATTCCAGGTATAAATCTAGTAAACCTCCTCTGAACCAAAGCATTTATATCCTTAAATAAGGAGACTAAAACTGCATACAATATTCAAGATGTGGTCTCATCAAAATCCTGTATAACTGAAGCATAACTTTCTTACTTTTACGTTCAACTTCTCTTGTAGTAAAGGATACCATCCCAATATCCTTCCTTATAATGTACTGTATCTGCATACAGAACTGCTTTAACTCATACACGAGAACATACAAATCCCTTTGCACCTTAGAATTCTGCAGTCACTTTCCATTTAAATAAAACTCTGTATTTTCATTCTTCCTGCCAAAGTGAACAACTTCACATTTCCCCACATTATAATCCCTCTGCCAGATATTTTGGCCAATCACTAAGCCTATCAATATACTACAGGTTCCACATGTCATCTTTACAACATACTTTCCAACTGATCTTTGTGCCTTCTGTAAACTTAGATACTGTGCTTCCACTCTCCTAATTTAAGACATTGATATAAACTGTAAAAAGTAGAGGTCCCAGCACAGATCCTTGTGGGACCCCACTCATCACATCCTGCCAATCAGACAAAGCCCCATTTATGTGTGCCCTCTGTTTTCTGCCAGCCAGCCAATCTTCTATCTATATGTTACCCCTGCACCATGTGCTTTTATTTTCTGCCTTTGATGCGGTATCTTGTCAAATGCTTTTTGGAAATCCAAGTATTGTATGTTTACAGGCTTCTCTTAATCCGTTCCTCAAGGAACTCCAATCAATTTGTTAAACGTGATTTCTCTTTGACAAAACAATGCTGACTTTTCCCAGCTACCTGAAGTTTTTTCAAGTGCACAGCTGCAATCTCTTTAATGATCAATTCTAACATCTTCCCCACAACAGATGTCAAGATAATCGGTCTCTCTCCCTTCTTAAATAATGTGTATTGCTACTTTCCAGTCTGATGGAATCTTTCCTGAAATGGAAGAATATTAGAAAATTAATACTGATGTATCTACCACCTCATTAGTCAGCTCTTTAAGAACCTAAGAAGTCCATCTGAAGATGGAAACATATTAACCTTCAATTTGCTTGGTACAGCCTCCTTTGTGATTGTAATTTCACTAAGCCCCTTTCTCCCTTGCACCTCCTGATCTACTACCATTACTGGATTTCTTCTTATATTCTCAACAGTGAAGGCAGAAGCAAGATATTTGCTCAATTAATCAGCCATTTCTTTATTATTTGCTATCAACTTCAATTCCCACTCTTTAGAGGTGAGCATTCACTTTATTTAGTCCTTTACTATTTAAATACCTGTAGAAATTCTTGCTATCCATTCATACATTCCTGGTTAGCTTCCCTTTATACCCTAATTTCTTCCTTCTGATTAATCTTTGGGACATTCTTTGAATTCTATATATTCTGACCAATTGGCTGACTCACCTTTGCATGGTAATATGCTTTTTCCTTAAATTTGATACTTTCCCTAACTTGTTTAATTGCCCTCCCTTTAGAATATTTCTTTACATCCATTTATTCTGAGTATTCTGAAATATCCTCTGAAATATCTGTAACTATGTCTCTTGATTTATCCCTTAGCCTAATATGCCAGTTTAGTTCAGCTAGTTCAGCTCTCATGCCTGCATAGTTTCCCTTATTTAGGTTTAAAAAATACTCATCTTAGACCCAATGTTCGCTCTTTCAAACTGAACGTAAAATTCAATCATACTGTGGATGTGCTACCTAGGGGTGCCTTAACTCTTAAGCCTGTCACATTACACAATGCCAAATCTATTGAAACCCAATCTCTGGTCAGTTTCAGACTCTGATTCTCGAAGAAACAATCTCAACAGCATTCTACAAACTCCTCATCCAAGCTGCTGTTGCCAATTTAATCTTTCCAATTTATATGTAGATGAGACTCACCAATCATTTTGCCATCCCTTTATTACAAGAAACCAATTTAGTTTTCTTGTATACCTTGTCCACATTGTACTTATGGTTAGGGAGTCTATAGGCCACTTCCACAAGAGACTTCTTTATCCTATTATTCTTCATTTCCACCCAAATTGATTCTATATCCTGATCACCTGAAACAAGGTCATTCCTAACTGTCATAAGTGCTACCCCTCAACCCTTACCTAACTTCCTTTTCTTCTTGAATGTCAGATCCTCCTCAATTTTCTGTACCCAATCCTTGTCATCCAGCAGTCACATCTCTATAATGTCTATCTAATCATATTTATTCACCACATAGTGCGCTATCAGTTCATTTACTATGGCGTGAATGCTGCACACATTCAGAAACAGAGCCTTTAGTTTTGTCTGTTATCTTTGTAACATTTAGTCTTGATTGTTGGTGTGTTCTTTTTTCATTTCTGTCCCTTCCTGCCTCTTACCCTCATTTCCCCATTACTATTTTCCTTTTTGATTTGATTTAATTCATTATTTATTTTTTAAAAATTTGATTTAATTTATTATTTAATTTTAAAATTATTTAATAAGTTTATTACTTATTTTCACTGTACCTCGGTCCACTGAAAAGTTTTGTTTTGCATGCAGTATAGGCAGATCATACCATAAGTGCATAAGAGTAATACAGCAGAACGAGGAATACAATGTTATGGCTGAAGGTGCATAAAAAAATTACATCAACATTAAATTTAAAATTTGAGACATCCATTCAGAAGTCTAATAACAGCAGGGAAGAAGCTGTTCTCGAATCAGTTGGTACATATGTTTAAGCTTTAGTATCTTCTGCCCAGTGGAAGAGTTTGGAAGAGATTATAACCAGGGTGGGAGGGATCTTTGATTATCTTGGCTGCCTTTCCGAGGCAGAGAGAAGTATAGATGGAATCAATAAAAGGAAGGTTGGTTTGCACGATGGACTGGACTGTGTTCACAACTCTCTGTAGTTTCTTACAGTCCTGGGCAGAGCAGTTGCAATATGAAACTGTAACACATCCAGACAGAATGCTTTCTATGGGGCATCTGTAAATTGGTAAGATACTTTACAGACAAACCGAATTTCCTTAGCCTCCTGAGGAAGTAGAGGCGTTATTGTGCTTTCTTGACCATCACATCAGTGTGGGTGGACCAGACAGATTGTTGATGATCATCTTACCTTACCTCTACTCTGATATACC